GACCACTATTTCCCTTGTGCAAAACACTGGTTCAACAAGAACGGTTCTAGAGCTGTATCCTGAAACAATCCGCGAAAGCACAAATATTCAAATTTCGTGACTAGTGCAGAATATGTTGAAGGTTGACATTTCTATAGCAAAACAATAGATTTATCAAAAGGAGCATGTAATGCCAAAATGATATCAAAACTCATAGATTGTCCCATAAAGGCTCCAGATTGTTTTGATCCTAAATCGATAGGAATTTCACAATAATTATAACGTTGGTAAAAGAGGGAAACCTGTATTGTATCAGTGAATGTTGGTGACTTTTTTAATCTACTGAGTTCACGGACGGGAATCCCTATAATGTTCGAAGAACATCGTTCGTACCCAGGGAGGATAGAAAAAGGGGGTAAATATTAGAAATGTCTGTGAACTTTCGGGGATCATAAGTTCTTAGGAATATTTACTTCGACGAAGAATGCCAAAGCTTTGCCGTTCTATAAACAAACGAGTTTTCGTAAAGAGTTGTTCGACCTATATCAAGGTTGAAGACGAAATGATGTGCTGACTGGAATTGTCCAGTTCGTTTAACTGGTATTGCTAGTGATTGAGTGATAGCACAGATTTCCCGTGCAAGTATGAAAGTTGGAGGTTTCAAGAACAAAAAACACGGTATTGTTCAACCATCTTGCAGAAAAGAGAATATCAAAGTTGACTCAATAGACAAAACTCTGAGAGAAGCTCATTCAGATTAGCAGTCTTCAACGTCACAGTATTCCTTACGTTTGCGTTCAACTGGATGAAAATATGGAGGGAAGGATGGATCGCTCAGTACGAATATGAAAAATGTGGACGAAGATGATGATCATAATTGTCAATTATTGAAAAGTATACATTCAATATGTTTGCTTTCAAGAAATAATGTATTTTTTTCCGTTATTAGCCACGTTGAACAATAATTCCATGATTTAAGACATTGAGCATGAATTTCGAACCATTAAACTCTCTTCGATACTTCTCGATTTTTTCTCTTCCTCGCCTGTATCTCAGGAACTATTCATTGTAGGCGAAAAATAAACAGAGACTTTTTCATAGGGAATTTCATGTTGTTCAACTTTGTATATCTTCATTTTTCCGCTAGAGTTCACGAATGTCGAATTATTCAAGAACAACTTGAAAAATTCACCTTTGAACGTTCCCCTACTACCCCGCTCATCCCCTAGGGGTCAAGAATTTCAGTATGTTGTTCATGGCACTTTCCTCCATCACTGTACAGAAATTTGCGACTACACGTTTCATTTCCCTTCATTTTGTTCGTTTACCTCGTCGTTTACTGAACTACATAAGTAATTGAATTTTCAATAATTTTCGTGATATCTCAATGAAAATCTTGTCCCAAGAAGTACCAATAAAGTTACTGAAGTCTTGATGAAGTCAGTGAAGTCACGATGAATTCACTGAAGTCTTGATGAAGTCAGTGAAGTCATGGTGAAGTCAATGAAGTCATGATGAAGTCAGTGAAGTATCGATGAAGTCAGTGAAGTCTTACGGAAATGTGAAGTCAGGTGTACAAATTTTCGTTTGCGGTTCGCCCCTCGGAATTTCACTAATAGTGGATTTCTCCCACTCAAAAGTCGACGACAATTTAGCAAGTAACATTGCAAGAGAATTTTTTTGCAAAAATGGAAGAACCCGTCTTTTATTCGAGCTGTGTCCAAGGATGAAATTTCACCGTGGCATATTCACCTTTGCTAGAGGAATATTGTGTGTGTGCGTGCTGCATCGTGTTTTATCTCGCCAACGCGAGATCGGGAATTCCTCGCTTGGCTAGATGAGACCTTGTTGATAGGACAATCGAACCGATCGTGCGAATCCGTGTGGTAAAATCGACTTAGTTGCATCGAATTAAACCCAATTTCGATTCGGTACATATAAGTAATCGAGCTGCCGCGCAAAAAGTGTCAACGACCCGTGTTCTGTTTATGTTCGGTGATGCGGCCGATAATGAACAAAGCAGGTGACCGCTGAATTGTTTGCTATAGCCGGCCGTTCGTTCCAGTAGTCACAACCTGTACACCAAGATTCGTTGTTGAAGATGGTAGATATTTCGAACGGATATTTTTTTGAACTATTTCCATATATACAGATGACGTCTTTCATCAGGATTTGTTCCCAATGATGTAAGGATCAGAAAGATAACTTGGTAAAGGACCCCGCACGAAAACACGGGAAATTGGCTCTCGGTCGAATTGGCTGAAATTATACTATGTTGTTGTGGGATGGCTCATTAGAAAAATATGAGAGTTTGAAAAGTTTTGTATGTTTAGTTTCTGAGATATAAGCCGACAAAGTTTGTAAAAACGTCGTATCGGGGTAGGATTGACAAAGAAAAAAACTGTATTTTTCAGTATGAATAAGACAAAATATGCTAGAATATGTATTGATCGGAACTCAAATACATGTCTAGTTATGATCACAATATTTTATTTACGAATTAAATATTGTAAAGTTTCGGAGCATCGGCTGGGGATAGTCCTGCACGATTCGCTGTTGCGTTCCAATTAACAGTGCTGCTCCTAAAGTGGCGCATGGAGTTAGTAACAAAGCCTACACAGAACACGCAGAAAGATATAATGATGTGGTTGTGAGCATCAGAGAAGAAGTAGGACGGTGTATGTAGGTGGGTGTGGAAAACTACCACTTGAGCGTGAGAGCGGGCCAGCTGCTTAGTAGACCTCGGTCTCGGGGGTTAACGAGGATAGTTAGCAGGCCTGCCACTGCGCATATGGTAGTGAGTACATTACTAGCCTACAAAACACAGCTGAAAAACTCTGAAAGAGAGCTGATGGGCGGTGCCTGGAAAGGATGTTAGCCAGCTCTCTTGAGCGAACCACATCAGTCAGTGAAAACACTTGGGGTTTGCAAAAAGGTCCCATTGGGGACTAGTTGCTGACGTGGAAACGTCCCCCACCTGTACCAGTACCAGTACCAGTATGATCACATAAATTAAAGTAAATCAGGGTGTATACGAGGCACGGTCGAAAAATTCATTTTTCGGAAAAATAATTCGAGCACTATTCCAAAACCAACTAGTTATATTTTGGTGAGACATTATAGTTTCAGTCTATTGTAGGCTTCGAAAATGTATTTTCATTCTTGATACCTATCTCTGTTCGAAATATGAATTCTTTGAATTTTGTGTTATACCCCTTTTGGAAAACATTGGACAGCTTGCTTCTGATCACAAAAAAGGAATTGATTGATACTATTGATTTATTGAAAGCTGAGGTAACTCACTAGCGAATTCAGTTGTTCAATATTGCTTACCATTTAGATACAGGGTGTGTTAGATTTTGTTGAAGATTATTTGAAATGTTTCAGTTGAATATCTCGAAAACAGTTCCGTTAATTTGGATCTCATTTTACTCACACTATTTTGAATATGTTGACTATCATATGCAAACAGTTTTTCAATTTTTCATGTATTGTTTCTGAGATATGCATTTTTGAGTTTACGCAGTATTACAGGTATTATAGGGTTATTACCTCGGTAATAACCCTATGATACCTGTAATATAATAAATACTGTAAAAATGATATCTCAGAAACGAAACATAAAAAATTGAAAAACTTTTCGCATATGATAGTTGACATATTCAGAATAGTGTCAGTAAAATGAGATCCAAATTAACGGAACTGTTTTCGAGATATTCAATCGCAACATGTTAAATAATCTCCAACAGAATCTAACACACCCTGTATCTAAATGAAAGGCAATATTGAACAACTGAATTCGCTTGTGAGTCAACTCAGCTCTCATTGAATCAACAGTATCAATCAATCCCTTTCTTTGTGATCAAAAACAAGCTGTCAATTGTTTTCAAAAAGGGGTGTAACACAAAATTCTAAAAATTCATATCCCGAACTGAGATAGGTATCAAGAATCAGAATACGTTTTCGAAGCCTACAATAGACTAAAACTATGATGTCCCACCAGAACATAACTTATTGGTTTTGGAATAGTGCTCGAATTTTTTTTCCGAAAAATGAATTTTTTTACTGTACCTCGTATGCACCCTGAATTACTATAATTTATGTGATCATAACTAGACATGTATTTGAGTTCCGTTCAATACATTTTCTAGCTTATTTTGTCTTATTTATACTAAAAAAACAGTTTTTTTCTTTGTCAATCCTACCCTGATACGACGTTTTTACGAACTTTGTCGGCTTATATCTCAGAAACTAAACATACAAAACTTTTCAGACTCTCATATTTTTCTAATGAGCTATCCCACAACAATATAGTAAAATTTCAGCCAATTCGATCGAGAGCCAATTTCCCGTGTTTTCGTGCGGGGTCCTTTGTAAAAATAGAGGGAACTGTTGTTTCAACTAACTGTGGGTTTCTCAGCAATTATTTTCCCAATCGATTCATCTGGAAGAGAAAATGTATCATATCTATAATATCTGTTTCAACGAAATGGATTGCACACACGTGAACGTTGAGAGGGGACCCATACGAGGTATCGAAGATATCCACTCTTTACGCAGTTCTTCATCTTTGGGAAATTTAAAAATCGAAACAGGTTTCTATTCCGAAGCCTAATTTGACTAGCACCTTGTCACACATCAGCGATTATTTGGCATCTAATTATGAGGAAAGTTGAAATGACTTTTACTTTTCTTCCAGGAATAAGAATAAGACAACATAAAACACAACCTCAATTCAAAAACAATTTTTGATGAGACTTTCACACACACAAACACCCTCCCACTTATAACTCCTTACACATTTCACTGGCTTTCAACAATATTTCACATTGATAACACATCAAATTATTCTTGAAAACTGACTGTTACATTCAGAACCCATAATATCGTATTTGTGCGAATGGCTGGAGGTAGAACTTTTGAACAATGTTGGTAGACTGGACTCACCTCCATGACTGTCGATCATACTCATCATTTGAAACTATTCGCTTGTGTAATCGATGAAAAAACCACGATCGCTATATATGTGAACATATTTTATTTCCTCAACCAACTACAACAAGATAAAACATAAGATCATTTACCTTCCTCATTGAAATTATTGATCTGTGTTTCTCAACAACCACTTGAAAATATCTTCAGCCTGCCTTTCTCCATGATAATTTAGCGAGTAGCCATTCTTGAATAGCTTGACTGTCGGATATGAACCAATGTCTTGCTCATCGGCGATGTCTTTTTCTGAAATGGCATCAACTTTGGCTACTTGTATCGGCACATTCTTCTCCTGGAGTATCTTTGCTACCTTCTCGTACTCGGGCGCAAACTCTTTGCAGAAGTGGCACCAAGGAGCATAAAATTCTACTAGAATGTATGGGTTATCGGCTATGACTGTTTTGAAATTCGATTTGTCCAGATCCTGAATGAAGGTAGAGGAACTGGATAGTTGTAACAGGATAATGAATGAAATTTGAAAATATTGTTGAAACTTCATTTGGAAAATAGCTTGTCAAAATTGAATTTATTTGAAGGATCAGAGAAGAGACAAATATTGACATTGAATATCAGGTGACAGAGATGTATAGAAATTTAACTGGTGGGCTCACTCTTCAATTGTTTCGTCAGACTAACTCTCGATAGTTTTGGACGTGGGGTTTAGGTATTTGACGATAGAGGCGCCATAATCGGAAAATCGTTCGAAACCTTGGTTCTGTGAGGGATGAATCTATTTCCATCATTGTTCTGTGGCCGAATAAATACTGTGCTCATCATTTTCATTCAAATTTCAATTTGAAATAAAAGCAAGAAATCTTTTTTGTAGCCGATTTTAATAAGCTTCACTTCTTTCATGACATGAACCTATTTAAAGCATGAAATCTGATGAATTTCCTCTTTGAAGAACCAGAACAAAGAATGTATCAACTATTGAAATAGACCAATATCGAAAATCATACTAGGCAGATATGGTAACTGGTACTCACCTTAGAATTTATTCACACCAATTCACGCTAGTATTTCAAATCACTGAAATAATACTGTTGTAGAACAGATATTTTCTTTTTTCTATGGTGGATTAGGTATTATACACAAAATTCAGAAACTACGGAACACGTCCCTAACAACACTTGACCCCAATTTCAAAAATAACCATTTTTTCAGCTCAAGAATATTTTTGACATTTTGACGTTTCGATCCTTTGATCCAAATCATATACGTATCCAAATATTTATCGGTCATTAATATGTTTCCTGTAAAATGGATTGTAACCAGGATGAGCTTAGCGAGATTTACCCACGTCAAGTATGTTTATCAAAGGTTCATCACATTAGGCGCCATCGAGGGCGCCATCGAGAAACTTGCAAACGACCTTCAATAGGGAGCAAGCGCACCAGTTAAATTTCTATACATCTCTCAGGTGACAAAAAATTTAGTGCAGTGAAATTCCATAGACCGCTATCAAGTGTACAAAAACAGGCTCCCGTGGGCTTATTGATGTTGATAATCTTTTGACCTTGATGAAGAATAGTTATTTATTATACAAGGGAAAAAAGTAGTAGATTTTAGCTCCAGGTTGTGTTGTCTCCCGACGCGTAGCGGAGGGAGACAACAAACCGTGAGCTAAAATCTAATATTTTTCCCACGGGAAAAAAGTAATTTATGAAAAGTGACATTTTATAACCTGCCAACAGGGATGAAATGCCAAACTTTTTTCCCGTCACAGAAAAAACATAATATTGATGTATGATGCGTTTCAATGCTGGGCGCGAAAAACAACATTGCAAAATGGCCGACATCTTTTATATCTCTTGGAGCGCACGGAAGGAAGCTCCTATAATATTCGGAGAACATCGTGCGTACCTAGGGACGATAGGGAAAGGAGGTTTTTGTTTGGTTTTGGAGGTTATAACTTCTTGGGAATAAAATTTCCATTGGCGAATAATTCCAAAGCTTTGCCGTTCTATAGACGAACCAATTTCAGTGAAATGTTCGACAAATGCCTAGGCTGATAACGAAAGGATGTGCTGACTGGCCTGTCGAGTTCGTCTGACTGGTATTGCTAGTAATGGAATGATAGCAGATATTTCTGAGGAACATTGACCGTGCATGGAAGTATACTTACTGAAAATTGAAAAGTCGACGTCTTCTCTACGGTGTTCTTTGACTAACCGTTTGCCAGAAAATCAACAGAAGGGATCACGACATCGTTTTCGAACGCAATGGGTTAGCAAACGCTTGCATAAGTTATAGGTGATTAGGTGATCACATGTCGGAACGCATTTGACCCCTGATCCATAGATACCATAACGCATCTCTCAACGTTCCGCAATCAGTACCGTTTCGACGATGAAATGAAGTTGGCATTTATAGATTTTCTTGAATTTGACACTCGCCAATCTTGTCATATTAATTTGTGATGTTATTTTTGTACGAACTATAAATGAGTATAATTTTCGGAATTAGCATTGTCAAGGTATTCCAAATCTAACAATGGATGATAACCTGCGGATTATGAATATTTGGCGCTGCTACAGCTGGAGTTCTGTTATATGTGCGGTAGCGATATGAACTTTCGCAAACCAGAAATGTATCGTCAGTTAAGGATGGGACCTCTGAATAGGTATATTGAGAATCTGAAGGTTTTATTCAAGCTATATGCCTTTATGTCCATGAGAACAAAGTTACCAGATATATTTATAATCCGTACATTATCCGTGCAATCTTCTACCAACTATAGTCACCTCAATTGATTGCATTGTTACTTTTGTAATACCTGTTTGACCTATATAAAATGGAATAATATTCTCGATAAGGCTTCTCAAGACTCCTTAATCAATATTGTATGTAGAACAATTAAATAATAATATAATCATATATCTATTCATAATGTAAATCGAACAATAAACTCAACCTCCCTTCTGCTTGACGTTTTGTAAGATAGAAAGATGGAAATGGGCATCTCTCGCGTTGCAGCCACGATGAATGTTTTGCGGAACGACATTGTATAATAGTCCAATCAAATGGTATTTTCACTTGAAAAAAAAATGCAAGTATTCGGTTTTTCTGTGGTTCCATATGTTTTTGGAGGTGCTGAATTCGAATCTGAATTTTGCAAACAATTTTCGGTTTTTTGCCCGTAACTCGGAAATTATACGTTATATATCCAAAAGACTGCCCCATAAAAAGTTGAAGTAAATAAAATTTCCTAAATATCATTTCCATCGCTCATGAATGTAGGACTAACGAGTGCGGAGATAGAGCCAGTTGAAAATTGACCAAATATGCGTACTTTCCAAAAAATAGCGTTTTCCGTCGGCTTTCGCAGATAATTCCAAATCTACGCATTCCCCGAAGAAACGAACAGTACTGCTCGAAGTGGAAGAGTCCTAGCCATGTGAATTCTCACCTCTGTCAGCATGTAACTCATAACTCTCGACTTGTCACTGTACTCAAGTATATTCACATCAACTAGGAAGAATATTGTTTTTCTTACCTCTTGTTATTCGTTAACGGAGTAGAAAACTCGAGTGTCCTAGTAACGAATATCAGAAATGTCAGACATCAGTATCAGCTTTATCTACTATTAACATCTACGACAATCAAACTTTTATATGGTTATACTTATAAAAACGAAGATGTAGTGTCGATCAGATTTTAGATTATCCTCATCTGAATAATTGCTTTCTATAATCCTAGACTTTTAATGAAGCCTGATATTTTCTTGACGGTTGAATTTTCCGCCTCAACAGGCGTTATCTATACCTGCTCTAGGGTAGTCAGCCTTTGGCGGACTAGTACATTACATGAACAAAGGTGCTCCGCGGTTTAGTGCCAGTCTCCTCTGGACCTATTTTTTGTTTTAGTAATAGCTCAGAGGGTAGTGTTTCAGCTCTTGTTTGCTGAGACTCACTAGCTTACGAATTGTTGAAGACCTCTTTCCTTCTCGTTTACCTGGAGTTGCTCAACAGTAGTAGGATTTTTTATCACTTAATTTTCATTTTCTGACTTCTGTGCTTAGGTGGCCTTCGCTTGTCTCACAGAAAAGTAAAATGTGAGCTCTGCACTTTTTTGCTAGGCGATCAGCTGCCTCATTCCCTTGACGCCTTGGAACCCACAATACGTATTCATCACAAAATAGGTGATTTGATAGTTTGAATAGTTTATCAGTTTTTTATACAGGTTCATATAATCCAAATCATATAAGTTGAACATGAGTGTGGCAACTACGACTAGAAGACGTCTCCAAGTCCGAACGCTCCAACAGCCGTTCATCTTTTTTCATAAATTTACATGAGCTCGATTAGAAATTTGATGCTCTCACAATATGTGCATGTTGCTCTGTCTCTGAGTAATACGAAAAATATGAATTATCTGCGAAAACCGCCGAGAAACGCTATTTTTTTAAAAGTACCCAAATTTGGTCAATTTTCAACTGGCTCTACCTCCGTACCCTTCAGTCCGACATTCATGAGCAAGAAAAATTGTATCTAGGAGATTTTTTTATAGGGCGGTATTTTCGACATTATGTAGGATTTTCGAGTTACGAGCACAAAACCGGACAAAGTGCGAAAATTTTGCTGTTTTTTGCTAATATCTCGAAACGCTTCAGGAAATTTTGTTTGCAAAATTCCGATTCGAATGCATCACCTCCAATAACATATAAAACCACAGAGAAACCGACTTGAATTTTTTCCCGGATTGGGTCCTAATCGTTACCGTTTTACTGAGCTATAAACAGTCGAGTAAACAGTATTGGAAAATCCTATGTTTTATCTTCTATCGTGTAACGGATCTACTTGCGTAACGTTACGTAATTTAATCTATAGATCAGGGGTGACACTGCTATTTCAGACGTGTGCGGTACTGCAATACTTGCACTTGATCCGTTATTATGATCACAATTTCAGATAATCTTTTGTTTTTTACCCAACTTCCAGTGGCTGTAGCTCAAAGGGGGTGCATTTTAGGACACATGTTTATTCGCGAGATTCACGAAGTGGGCGACATCTAGGTTACATAATACGAACTTCAAACTGGGATAAAGTGCATAGACTACATTGCATTCAGCTTGCTGTAGCTGTAGTCAAACTTGTCAATGACATAAAGTGTTGGCACTGTTGGTAGTGATGATGGTTGAGTTGGTTAATTTTTTTACATTCTTACATTTTCATCAGTTCAGTGAACAGTGAACGGGTGAAGAATTGGGGATAATTCAAACAATTCAAAATAATTATGAAGAGCAAATCAATTGACATATAAAAGAATCTAGCTACAACATGATTACAATACCCAGATTGTCCTGCTTTGCATGAACAGATACAAATCCATTGGTCTACAGGAGCTCCTCTGGACCACAACTTCGATTTTACTCCATGTGGGGAAGATTTTTTCGCCGAAATTTGTAGACAAAGTGCAAAAATGTACCTTTTGTTGAAGTCTTCTGCCTTCCACAAAATCACATGATTAGCTCGGAGAACTGCTTCTCCTTCCACTACTGGTCGGCTGTTTCCATATAAGTAGAACAAAATATCTGCCAAAAGAACAGCATTATTATAG